TCTCTCTCACACACACACACACACACACACACACATATATATATATATATATATATATTAATTTTACATAATCGAATATATTCACACATTGGATTTTAATATTAAAGCGTTTCATAACATATCTTGCCAATGTGCAAGCTAACCAAAAACAATAACAATATATATATATATATATATATATATATATATATATATATGAAATTATTATAGTTGATATTTTAATTTTAGAACATAAATTACAAAAATCTTAAGTATAGTTTGATATTAATATTATTTTTGTTAAAACATAATAAACATTTTAATTAATTTAATAGTTAAACACTAACCATATTAAAACAATGTTATTTTAGTGTGAGAGTTTTATCATTATATTATTAATAATATAACGATATATAATATAATTAAAATTTAGGGTAAAGTACTCCAAATATCACTAATCTTTAGAAGCTGACTCGAAAATGTCACTGACGTTTCAATTTTGTCAATTTAAGTACTGACATTTATGTTTTACTTCAATTAAGCCACCCCGCCGTTAATCCGTTAACGGGACGCTGACATGGCATGGATGGGCCGTGACGGTGATGACGTGGATGCCTTACCAAAACGACGTCGTTTCAACACAACTATTTTGATGCTCAATAAAAACAAAACGACGCCATTTTGCTTAAAACATTATTAAAATAATATGCAACTAAAGAGATTTGAACTCCAAACCCATGGAACATAATACTTAACCATTGAGCTACCTTATAATTCTTTGTTATATTTTCTATAAAAGTTTTAAAATTTTAAAATTCCAATTAACGATGCTTGAAAAAAACTGATGACATTGCATCATATAACATGTTGTGACTGAGATCTAGAACTTGTAAGAACCTAATCTTATCGATGTTGTCTGGGATATTATTCCTCATCGAGAGCTCGATGAGAGATACTGGCAACGTTGATGGGACTTGTCCAGATACGTTGTTATCGCTAGCGTCGAGAAAGCAAAGCTTTCTGAGTGAACTCAGATCAGGAAACTCACCGGAAATGTAGTTTCGTTGGATTTCAAGTCGTTTCAAGCGTGTTAGATTGTTAAAGCTTGAAGGAATTGGTCCATGGAGATGGTTGTTGTAATATCCCAAATCAGGGTCAGTGACTAAATTACAAATTTTAAAAACTATGTGCTCGATTTTGAAATAAGTTAAAAGTTCATGGATTTAATTGAAGAAAGTTGATGTTGGATTTAATGGTAAAGTTTGGAAATAACAAGGGTATTATGGTCTTTTCTAAGAGAAGATTTTTATTCTCTTTTTAAGGGATATAAAACGTGGGAAAGGAGATAATTTCTCCAGAGTATTCTTCAGTCTTCTTCTTCCTCCTCTCCACCGTGAAGCCTTGTATAAGGTAAGTGGGTCTTCAGTTGGTTAATTCTTTCGTTTTAAAGCTTGTTTTGATTCTTGGGATGTTAAGAAAGATTAAGGAAAGCTTTAGGTGGCTTAAAACTCAAAGATTAGCAAGTTATGAGAAATTAAGAAAAATGAGTTTTTAAGTGAATTTTTGAAATAGAAGGAGTTAATAGATTTTGAAGTTTAATTTGACTTGTCAAGGGTTAAATTAAGAGATATGAAGTGATAGAATGGGTTTTAGAACATGTTGGAAATTTAGTGTGATTCTTGAATGCCATGTAAATGATAGAATTTTGAGTTTAAAGAAGTGATTATGGAGTAGAAATAAGTTTAAGTATGTGTATGAAAGTTAGGAATATTAAAGGGAGTGAAGTATGAAGTGTTGAGTTGAAAATGAAGTGATTTTCGAGCTAAAAATATGATTTCTGGGCTAGGGGAATCGGTACCCATTCAAGGGGAATCGATACCCCTTCAAACGAACAAAAATTTCCAGAATATCATGAGGGAATCGATACCCCTATAGTAGGGAACCGATTTCCCCTAAAGGAAAATTGTGAATATTGGTTTAATAAGTTCGTTTAAGTTGCTAGTATCAAATTAAAAGGTGTAGATATCTAATAATTGTCTTAAAATGTATAATTATGTAGATTCAGAGCCTAATTAAGTTCTGGAATCATTGACAAGTAAGATCGATCAAGGAGAAAGATAAGAGATTGGAATTGACTAGTGAGGCCAGGTGAGTGCATACAAGTTAGTTTATAATGTTTAACAGAAATAAGACTTGCGACAAGTCTATTTCCTATATTAGAAGGCCTGGATGTATGATCATAGGCATATGTTTGATTTGGGTATATGTGATATATATATTATAGTATGTATTAAATGATTTGTGTGAATGCATACAGTGTGATAAGTTATAGGAATTAATATGAATGATCTATATGATTACATGAGAATGTGAAATAGGCTATATGATAGGTGACCATACATGTTACATAGTAAATGTGATCAATTATAAGAATCAATATAATAGATTTATATGACTACAGGAGAAGGGTGATGAGTTAAATAAGATTAGACTATAGAGTAATATGAGAATAATATATTAGTGAAGGGAATTGAGTATAAACGATTATGCCAAACTATAAGATAAGTGTTATAGAAAAGAAGTATACTTAAAGAGAATTATGGTATAGGATTTAAGTAAAATTTAACTAAATAAATAGATTAAACTGGTATAAATGGAAAATGAGATAATTTAGGTAGCATTTACCTATGAGATAACATAAGATTATATGAATAAGTAGCATAAATGACATAAGGAAAACTTATGTGTTATATGATTTAAGCATTGAAATGAACAAAAGATATATTCAGGTGAAGTTATTCGATGATATGAGTATATGCCATTATTATACGGTTTAGATGAAATACTATACATGAATAAATGTGATTGTGTGAGAAATAATAGAAACTATATGAGAACATGTATATGTGAAAGTAATCTATGTGATTATATGTTATATGAATACAATAACCTGAGATATGTAACATGTGAATTATATGGAAATGATCTACGTGTAAGTGAACTATGTGACTATGTGATTATATGAAAATGTGATAATGAGCTATGTTCAAAAACTATGAGACTATGTGCCCAGGTAATATGAATATGTGAACATGTGAAATGACATAAATGATAATTCCCATGTTATGTGTCATGAGAGCTAGGGGTATAGTTGGCATGCCAAGAGTCGAGGGTCTACGCGGTCCTTCGGGACATATATATATTCTTTGGAACATGTGTGAAGTCTTGTGAGACACATATTTGATCCCTAGTATATGTATATGATTCTTAAGGAATGATATGTGGTCCTTATGGACATTATTATATGGCACTTCGGTGTATTTCTACGCGGCACTACGGTGCAATTCTACATGGCACTTCGGTGCATTTATACGAGCTGTGGTGACAGCATTAGTGCACAACCTCTATAGACTCACATATCTATAGTTCTCACATGTGTTCATGGGCTAATAAAAATAATAAGATAAATAAACTTGGTATGATTATATGTTTATTTTGTTGTGAACTGATATATGTGATATGATGTGATAATTAAGGATATTATGGATAAGAGTATAAAATTATAAGGACTAATGTACAAATTGATAATAATAGAAATGATTGTACATAAATATGTATGTTTTGATATAATGATATGTGTTTCTCGTGACATGGTACAAGTGCATATATATGTTGATATATATGTAAATGAGCTATATGATTTGATAGCATAAAACAATCATGCATGATTAGTGGGTATGAATTTCATTATATGTGTGTGTGTTTTTTATGCCTCACTAAGTCATTGACTTAGCGTGTGATTGTTTCACACGTAGGTTACAGAAGCGAGAAGAGAAGAGAAGAAGAGTAAGACAGGTCAGCACCTCCCTTACAAAATTTCAGATCAGAAAAATAGAGGATTTAAATGTTTTTGGTTATTTTGAGTATAGTTGGCATGTACTAATTGGTTGAATTAGTTATGCTCTGATTGATTTTGGGTATTGTGGTAAATTTATGTAACTAAACCGCTTTTACTTTAATGAAAGATTTAAATTTTCTTTGAATTTTGTCAAGAGTCAAAGTTTGAAAAGTCAATGTGACACCTCAGACTCGTATCCGGGTCGGGTACCGGTTGGGGGTGTTATAGTTGTTGTCATGGTAGAGTTCTTGAAGGTGAGGGAGTGAGCCAAGAACGACGGGTATTTCACCGGTGACTGAGTTCCCGGAGAGACCTAGTCAACCCATGCGAGTTAAATTGGAGAACGAGTCAGGAACTCGAAGCAAACCAGAGATGAGTGTATCGCACCTGAGGCCGCAAGTGAAGTGGTAAGTGAAGATGTTATTGCATGGATCAATGGAGAAATCCCAAGAGCTCGAACAAGATCTGGAGCAATGGAAGGAGGGTCCACACCATTTTTCAGATCTTTGAGAACTTGTACATCTGTTGGGTGTGTTCTTGAATTTACTAAAAACAACTTCGAGAATATGATGATGAAAACAAGAGAATATAGATGGAGATAAAGGGTACTAGATATTGATTCCAGGGGTTAAGCAACAATTTTATTTGGGATTCAAGCATCATTAACTGGAGTTTTAAAAATTTAAAACTTTTATAGAAAACATTACAAAAAATATAAGGTAGTTTAATGGTTAAACATTAAGTTTAATTTCAAGGAGTTTGGGATTCAAATCCCTTTAGTTGTATATTATTTAATAATTTTTTCAAGCAAAACGACGTCGTTTTGTCTATATTGAGCATCAAAATAGTTGAGTTGAAACGACGTCGTTTTGGTAAGGCATCCACGTCAACACTATCATGACCCGTCCATGCCATGTCAGTGTTCCGTTAACGGATTAACGACGAGTGGCTTAATTGGAATAAAACATAAACTTCAATGTTGAAATTGACAAAATTAAAACGTAGTGACATTTTCGAGCCAACGCCTAAATGTTAGTGATATTTGGAGTAGTTTACCCTAAAATTTAATGGTTTATGATGTGGTTTACATGTAATTTAACTTCTCTCGTGAGTCGTGAGAAGAAGAAAAAAGTTCGAAACCCCCCCCCCCTCTCTCTCTCTCTCTCTCTCGTTTTCCATGGCGACGCCAGCGGCTGATTCACGTAGCAACAGGGCAGCGGTTCAAGCCACTAACGACGACGCTTCAGCCAGTAAGCTGTGAGTTCTCTTCCTTGTTTCTCCCCCCCCATATTTTTATCCATTGTATTCTTCGTCTTTTCTTTTTTGTCTTTGATAAAATCGAAGGAAAAGAAAAAATAGGTTTGGAGAAATTGAATTTTATTCGAATAGTTATAACGTTTTATCATCGATATTTGATACAGCATCTCGATGCTAAAGAGATTAATCTAATAAATAGTTAAGTTGGAAATATTTTTGTTCTGAACATTGCTTAATTTCGAAAATTATTCTGTCAGGATATATATATTCATACGAGGTGAGATCTGTCATACTTGTGTAAAAAATTAAATTAGTTTTGCATGTATGATTTATATTTGGTTTATTGACCATTTTATTTTATATTCTAAATAAAAAATGTCTAATTACTTGTTCAACACAGAATTTTACAATGAAAAATAGTATCATTGATTGATATGATAGAGATATTGGATTGAAATTTTACTTGCACGACGAGTACAATTGTATTGGTAAATCCAACTATTGGTTTGTTAGATAGAATATTAACTGTAGCTTAAAATAAATTTATATTACTGTAAGTTGTCTGCTTTTTTATACATATCAATCTAAGAAGAAGCATATTTAATTCATTCAAACTGAGGAGCATCATATGGCATTTTATTTCTCACTTTCCTCCAAACTGTGTATTTAAAGGTCATGTGTTAAAAAGGGATACATGAAAGATGACTATATCCATTTGTTTGTTAGAAGACCTGTGAGGAGATCTCCTATAATTAACCGAGGTAAGATTTGATTCATTTGAATTTATTAGCGGGTTTTTGAATGAATTTAATCTAAGGATTTTTTCCTTGGCTGTGTGTTTTAGGTTATTTTGCACGTTGGGCTGCTTTTAGGAAGCTTCTATATCAGTTTCTTGACTGTGAAGGATCTAATAGTGAAAAGTGTAACATAAAGAAGCAGATACTATCACTTGGTGCTGGATTTGATACCACATATTTTCAGTTGCAGGTGCCTGAGTTTTCTTGTTAGTTGGGATAAACTCATAACAGAAAAATAAGATTTAAGAATGTGTAACTTTATTGTTCGATTTGTGTTGAGCACTTGAAACTTAAGTTTTTCCATGTTTTTATTCGCTGCTATTAGTTATTTGCTTTGTTTCTTTTTTCAGTAATTATCTAGAGAAGATGCATGTTCCCTTGTATAATCATCTAGAGAAAATGCAAGTTTAATTGGGCTTTTGTTTTCTTTCATTCACAGGATGAGGGAAAAGCACCGTATCTATATGTGGAACTGGATTTTAAGGAGGTGCAGTTTTGAATTTAAGATTGCAATTGATTTGTACAATACTGTACTTTAAACAGTGTTTTATTTCTTTAGGTTACCAGTAAAAAGGCTTCCATTATCGAATCCAGCAGCCAATTGAGGGACAAAATTGGTGCAACAGCATCAATCTCGCGAGGTAAGTTGCCCTGGCCACCAGGTTATTAGATGTCGAATTGTTGCTGTTATTGCTTTTGTTTATCAAATTGCCATTTCCTTTTCTGGTTTATGTGGATGCATAGTGCTACTATCAAGAGTGTGCTTTTTACATTGAACATAACTTATACTATTAAAGATGACATGCAAAACACGAAGCTGGAAATTATCCCTTTCAAGTGTTCTGTGGATAACTCATATTTGGTGTTCGTATTCTTTTGTCAAATTTTTTTCCTTCTTTCTCTTTGAAGTCATATGTCTATTACATCTAGAAGATGTTTTGAGGCTTTGGTGGCAGATTTTGTTTATTGTAGTCCATCATCCGTCAACAAATATTTGGTTGAAGGAATCACAGAGCTAGCTTCTTGTGCTTTACAGCATCTTGCTTCTAATGCATTTAAGCACATGCTTCTTCTGTGGAGTGATCCAGAACTCATATCTTTGCAGAGAATGGAGAAGTGCTCAGTGATCACTACAAGCTACTTCCAGTTGATTTGCGAGACATTCCAAAGTTGGATGATGTCTTATATTTGTCAAATATGGATCCCAGGTATTTCATGAATCCGTCCTATTCTTTGGCACTTGTTAGCTGTACTCATCCATTTGGAAGCCTAGGACCTTAAGGGTCGTCTGATATTGGTATCAGTCTGCCAACCTTTATAATTGCAGAATGCGTTTTAATATACCTGAATCCAGATTCAAGCTGTTCTATTGTTGGTTGGGCATCAAAGATATTTTCAACATCTATATTTTTCCTATATGAGCAGGTTCTGTACTTCTCTGAAATCTCAACATTTTTAATTCCTTGTTGGTTGTGGTTTCTTGCTTGTGTTCCTTGAAGCTGTGTTTGTCTGCCATGGTTGATGAGAGATTGATGAATTTCCATTTGTTGTCTTTGTCAACAGATTCATCCAGATGATGCTTTTGGGAAGCAAATGATAAGAAATTTGGAGGTGAAAACATCTTAGGTTCTGAATTTCATTTATTTACGAGTTTGCTTGTTTCTGTGAACGAATTAACAGTTTCTCATTCAGCTATTTGTGTGAAGTTTTTTTGAACCCAGAGCCTCTTCATTTTTGTTTGACATTTTGTTGATGTTTGGTGGAAAGATTCAGTTAGATAGGAATGTGGGCGTCAGGTTCCCTTTACAGAATGCTGTTTTGCCCCACTTTCTGGTTGAAATGCAAGAAACTTTTAACTTAAGGAATTAAGACATATAACTGCAGTCAATTATACCTTTTATTTTAAAACATTGTTCATCTTACTGAAGTGTCATTTAAAGAATAAATGTTATTCCTTTTCAAAATTACTGAAGCAACACTCATGATACTAGAATCCATGCCTTATTGAGCATGTTATTCCTTTTCAAAATTGGTTTATTCTACAGTAGCAAATGCTTGTCACAACAGGGGTTTCAATGAAGCGAGTTAGTCATTCTTCAAGCCTCAATAAATGAGGGTATACAAATGGATTGTTTTTTCATTGCTTAAGTTCCGTTAATGCCAGAAGTGCGAGGCTTGGATGCCTTGATATTGAGTTGTGGAAACTTACACTATTTTTTAGTGAAAATCAATTAACTCCTAGTCCAATTTTTGTTTCAGAGTCGAGGCTGTGCACTTCTGGGTCTCTATGCTACACCAACTCTGCAAACAAAGGAAAAATTATTTATTGATCAGGGATGGCAGGTATATGGGTATATTTTGATTTTTTTAATGCAACTATATATATATACATACCCTTTTTTATGTTTCCTTAATTTTACAGTACATTTGCTGGGTGCCTTTAGAGTACCATTTCTGTGATGGTAAATATTGTACTACCTCTATGCCAAGAAGAAGAAAATGTAACGCCTGAGGTAAAGACCTACTTCGGGCTATATGAGAAGGATCTTGTGACTGTCCTTCAACTTCTTGGCTTTCTTTCTAGTAACTGCCATAATGTTGGACTTTTAATTTGTAGAAAAGAAGGGCATCATCTAACTAAAGTAATATTTGTCTGTTCTTTGTTCCTTTTCTTCTTCTTTTTTCTCTTAGCTGAATCTTTCTGCCCCTTTTTTTTATCCTTTTGAATTTTAAAATTTCATTGTTCTTTTATGTTTTGTTTAATAACTCCGCTGTATTTCCTGATATTTCAGAAAGCTGTTGCCTGGGACATGCTGAAAGTTTACAGAAAATTTGTTGATGCAAATGAAAGACGAAGGTAGATACTCTGGTTTAGCATTAGAAATAATTATGTCTCATATATTTCCTCGGAGATTTAGCTGATTTGGCAGCCCAGATGTGGCTCCTTTCCTGAACTTGATGGAATTTACTCATTTTTTATCTTTGAACTAGATTCCATTTCGATGACTCTTTTTATCATCCTGTGTCAGCTAGATTTGACATGTACTAGTATCATGAACTTGAAAATAAAAAATTAAACCGACATGTATGTTTATTTATTGCTTTCTGATTACATAAATCATCCGTGAATTTGTTTATTGTGCATGTTCCCGTGATTTTGTTGACCATTTCTATCCAGTATATATTTAACTGCCAATGCCATGCCCTGGGTAGTTTGATATTTGATTTTTGAATTAGGTTAGTTCAATCTTTAATTTTCTGTTCAGGGTGAATATATTCCTTCTAACATAATTTAACTGCTTTTATAAGTATAAATTTTATATTCGAATCACATAATGAATTCCTCTGTGTTTGTGTGCTTTGCATTACTGCTCTGTAAATGTTGCTTTACTGTAAGGAAGAATGTTTGTTTCCTTTCTTTTAACGGCCTTCTTTAATGTTTTAAAGAAGATATAAAGAGAAATTCCTTCCAACTTTGTCCACATCATTAGCTCTTTTTATTCTACCTTGCATTGGAAAGTCTGACATTTTTTAACATGTCTGAAATATTCTTTGAGAGGATTCTTATATGTGATGTTCTGGTGTTCAGAATCGAACGGCTGGAATTGTTTGATGAATTCGAAGAATGGCATATGATGCAGGTAAGTTAATTTTTGGTTCAAGCAGAATGTAGCAATACCTGGAAAAAAAGATGAATTTGGTGAATTTTTGGTTTTGAAAATATGATCGGTCAAGGAACTCTAAATATATGGAAAAGAAAAAAATAAATATACTCGCATCCTACACTCATCATCGACTATGAGTAGCCTAGTTTTAATGTGTCGGCCTGACATTTGACAATTGAAGCAGGGATGGACGTTGGATTTTGTGCTAGGGGGCGAACCTCTAAAATTTTAAGAGGGGACGAATTTATAAAATTCCGGGGGCGAATACAGACTTTCAATAGAAGATAATAGAGAAAATCTAAAATATATAGTAATTTTAAATTTTCAGGGGCAACTACTCCCATCCGCCCTCTTGATCCATCCCTGAACTGAAGGTCTTTAGTTCTAGCAACAATGGCCAGCGGCGCAAATAGAATATCTGTTGTCTTATTATATATGGCTGATTATTTCTACAGATTTTATTAAGGTGTTCACTGATTTTGTTTTAAACTGCTGATTTTCAGGAGCACTATTGCGTTGCTTATGGAATCAATGATACCATGGTATGTTCACGTAATTTTCATTGGTTTCACTAGAATACTTCTGGAAATTCTAAATTGCAACTTGTTAATATAAGGTTAAAAACCAGCAGAACTCGGTTGCAATAAAAAAAATTATCAAGAGCCTAACTTTTTAGGCTGTTAGAGTAACATTTTCGGTTGCAATTGAAAATGTTACCTTCTTCATAATTTTTATGCCCAAACCCCTCGTAATGTAGCTTTTCAGTTGCAATAAAAAATATTATAAATTTGCATAACATTTTAAGTTGAACAAGATAACATTTTAAGTTAAAACCGTCTTAAATTAATATTAAATTAAGCTGTTGCACAGTAGAACTACCCATTTTACAGCATGAATAGGCCTTAATCTTAGCTTTGCATTCTGCAAAGCTAAAGGTGTAAATAAGACCTTTGTCTTTGTAAGTTATTCGGGTTTAGCTTGGGAAAAAACTTTAAATTCTATTCGATCATTGTTGAGTCGAGTTCAAACAACTCGAGTCATCAAGCTGGTCGAGTTTGAGTGTTTTGATGCTTGATTTGACTATTTATGGGCCTAATTGATTTTTTTTAATTCCAACTAAAATACAAATAATCAAATTAGAAGTTGAATCGAGTATAAAAATCAAGTGGTTTGTTTTTGTTTCAAGTTGTGTTTTGACTCTGAATCTCGATCAAATGTAAGTGCTCGATTTAACATTATTACCCCTCCAATTTTAGCTATTCCAGAAAAAAAAGTAGTAGTTCCTGCGGTGGTTTTTACAAGGGTAAATTACCTATTTGGTCACTCAGTTTATGTTTTGGTCACTCAACTATTATTTTTTTAAATCAAACCTAACGTTACGTTTTAATTCTGTTTTGGTCACCTGCAATTAAAAAATAAATGGCGATGACCGTCAATTTTTTTAACTGACTGATCAAAACAGAACCAATATATAACTGTAGATACGATTTTGGAAAAAAAATAATTGCTGGGTGACCAAAACATAAATTAAGTAATTGGTGGGTGACCAAATAAGTAGTTTACTCTTACAATAATTGTTCGTGGAATCATTTAGAAAGCTTGGGTAATATCATATAACCACAATGGTAGAATAGAATCTTGTTGTTCAATCTGGCTTTCATTTTCTTTATGAGAGTGAAAAAGATGCTGATTAGATTGTAATCGAGCTGGTCAAGTTCAATCCATAAGAATATCTAGCTCGGTTCGAAATTGTATATTTAAAGTTATATTAAAGCTCGATCAACTTTTTCTTTTAGAACTTAACTTGAGATAAAAATCGAATTTTTAGAGCTTGTTTAATTTGATTTGCTTTTCTACTCGACTTTAAACTTGATTATTTTTGCTGGGGTTCGAGTTTGAATTGAGTTTTTTTTATTGGTTCAGGGGTTGTATGGAAAATTCGGGTTCAAAGATGAGGAGGAACATGCGTCCGAAACCTCTTTGTCTGCGTCTCAATCTCCATGAACCGGAGAAGTGGAGAAGCACGCATGACAGATATGTGCCTGTTTAGCAAAGGGGAACAGGAGAAGAAAAAACAACTATTTAAACATTAGAACGAATTCCTAAAATGTTTTTGCTTATTTATTGACTTGCGTTGCAAGCTTTGACGAATGCACCGTGACTCTGTGTTGTGTATTTTGTGTGAGTTAACGAAAATGAGATGTATATTGTTCACTATTCTGATTAAGGACGAGTAAAATTTTATTCGAGTTAAAAATGAGCTTATTGCATCATCTGTCCTCCAAGTATGTTTTTCATTTAAATTGGTCACTAAACTTTTAAATATTTCAATTTCATTCTTAAACTATGGCTATCATTTTAAATTAGTCTTTAAACTTTTGAATATTTCAATTTTATCCCTAAACTATGGCATTCATTCTAAATTGGTCTCCAAATATTTTTTAACATTCCAATTTCATTCTAAACTATACGTATATAATAATCACATCCATTGTTAATAAAATCATTAAGTCAAGTTATATTATTATATATATGAAAAAGAAAAAGAAAATTTAGGTTAAATTATAGTTGAAACTATTTACATATTCGGATGAATTTGGGGATGAAACTAGAATATTCAAATGTTTAAGGATTAATTTAGAATGAGAGTCATAGTTTAAGGATAAAATTAGAATACTTAAAAGTTTAAGGAACAAATTAAAATATAATTTAAGGACATATGATGCTATTAACTCAAAATAGTTGAATTGTATAAGTTAATTCAAATTATTAGTTTATATTTTTAACTTCGAGTTGAGTTTAATTTTTTTTTCATAATTTAATCTCTTAATTTTATATTTTAATTTAGTTCTTTAATCATGATTCTTCGCAAATATTTTTTCATCATTTTTTTATTCTTTTATACTCCTCTCAATATTTCTTATCCAAAGCCTTGTCTTAAAATATTATAAATAAATTATATAATTTTAGACTTTTGATTTATTTAATAGAATTATAATTTTTAACATGTCAAAAAAAATATTAAGAAGCTTGTGTGTATGTATATATATTGTATATGATTAAAATGAATTGTTTGAATTGGAACTATTCAATTTCAAAAAGTTTAAATAATTATAATTAAATTAAACAAAATTTTAAATCAATATATTCGATTTAATTTGATTAAAATATTTACATCAATTTTGAGTAATAAAATAATACTCAGTTGATTCCTTTATCCAATTCAATTTGACTCGGTTGACTATTCAATCTTAATTTTAGTAGTTATTTTACCAAATGAAGATCGAGGATTTCTATGATTCAAAAGCAAATATAATAATGTTATAATAATTATTTAAGTAGTTTGAGACGACTATAAATTAATAACTATTTAAAATCTTTTTTAATCATTGATAATATAAGCACATCCTACAGATGCATCTGCTCAAACTGTAACACCCCTAATTCGTATCCGACCCGGATCTGAATCCGAGATGTTAGATTAACTTTTCATAAACATTTACTTTATAAATCATAGTTGAATTTAGACATAAAATTTAGTGTAATATTTAATCAAAAGTAAATAAACAGAACTTAGCTTATATTAAAATTAAAACTCAATAATTTACATAACTAGAGTGTATGTTTACAAAAACGATCAGAGCATATATAATTCAAACATTTAATTACATGCCAACGATATTTACTATAACAAAATAACCTACTGTTTAAATTGCTTCCGATATGATCTCTGATGAATATATGTTGTCCTGACCGCCTATCCTTGCTTTTCTGTTTTCTTTGATCCTACGTGTGAAACACTCACACGCTAAGTCATTGACTTAGTGAGACATATAATGAATAATACTTTCATGATGTACAATAAGTATTATATCTCACATCAATCAAGACATGAATGATCATACATTTAACCAATACCATATCATATTATGAACTGTTAATTCGTTTTATATCTTTTATTTGCCCATGGTATATTAATAAGAACTAAAGATATGTGAGTGCATTGAGTGTAACACCCCCAACCCGTACCCGACCCGGATACGAATCCGAGCTGTCACATTGACATATCGAATCATTTACTTGTATAAAATAGTGAGTAATTTAAAAACTCTTATAACATATAAATGTCTAATTTACATAAAATACATTTTTATTATTGCAAAAACCGATCAGAGTGTGCATAATTCACTTTTCTTTATTTACATATAAGTTATTCAATATGTTTACAAAATTATTCAGAGCTTATACAATATATATTCTTTTGAATACATGCCAACTAAAACTTATATATATAAAATACATATTATTCACCTCTCTTCTGATCTGACCTTTGGTAAGGAGAACTGACCTGTCTTGCTCCACATTACTCTGTACTCTTCTGGAAACCTACGTGTAAATCACTTACACGCTAAGTCTATGACTTAGTGAGGCAATAAACATATAATGTAAACATTTACTAGTAATCATGCATAAACAATTACTATTATCATTTCATACAACTCATATACTTTATATGTAACAAATACATACATACATATATGTCATTATCATTCATATCTCTTATCTCCTGTTCCTATGATCTTTTATGTCCATATTATATATCTGATAGACTTGTTATTATATCATCATGTCAATCAATTATACTCATTCACATATACTTTAACATGTACTCGCGTATGCAATATAACACATATATATATATCATGTCATGTAAAGCATATATCCTATTATAAAACACATACACACAATCAACTATATCATCATCTTCATTCTTATCACTATCATTGATTCCTTTTATCATATGATCTTATAATTACCATTTGTACAATCATATATCACACATAACATTTCACCAAGAAACAAACATATCATCATATCAAGTTTATTAATATTATTTCTTTATTAGCCCATGGTACACATGTGAGAACTAAAGATACGCGAGTACATAGAGGTTATGCACTATGGTGTCACCACAACTCGTATAATTCCCTCAAGGGGCATTGAATAAATTTAGGGGCTAAATTTAAGAAAATATAAATTGGTGAATTTAATTGGTATTTTTGGAAGAAATCGGGGATTAAATTATAAGATTTCAAAGTTGGCAAACCGTTTTAAGAAGTGTAGGAAATTCAGTGGACGAACCCATGATTTAGCCATTTTTATTTTGGAGAGAATTATAAATCTCTCCCCCGTATGTTTTCTGGAAATTTTTCCAGATTTTCCTCTTCATCAACCCCTCTTTGAACTCCGATCTACACGTCGTCCGACCTCCGATCGACGAGCCAAAACCACCATCCTGTTCGTTGTCAATCGAGGAACAAAACCCCTCAAACCTTTCGTCGTGAATCATCGTCGTTCGTCGTGAATTTCAGTCGGAAGTATCGTCGGTAATAACTCGGTTTTAGTTGATTTTTCATCGATTCACGACGATCGGGTCATCCATTTACGACACCTCCCGCACCATCGTGTTCCTTGTGCCGTTCCGAGTCCACCAGGGTCCTCCCTTTTCTTCGGCGGCAGCGACGTGTGTGGAGGTGAAGCGGTCAAAGTTTCTGATTCGTTGAAATCGAGCTCTCCGCCGTTCAAAAATTTGAACCGAGCTTTGAAAGTATCTTGAAATCGCTCAAAATAATTTTTAAGAATTTTTCCGTGATTTTTAGGCAGCCGGAAGGGGCTCCACGCGCCCCCACACGCCGCCACTGCGCGTGGGGATGATCCAAATGACCGGTTTTTGTGCATAGTTGACCGGTCATAACCTGACCCGACCCGTTTACCCGACCCGACCTGTTGACCCGACCCGTTGACCGTTGACCGGCGTTGATCACTGTTGACCAAAACTTTGACCGGCTTTGACCGGGCATTAAACGACCTTTGACTTCAACCGAGTATACCTATCCTGACATTTTTCGACGTTCCAAATTCGATTCCGCTGTTCGTTTTTCGAAATTCAAACCCAAAGGCCTCGAAATTGCCGGTCAAACCCGTTGACTTTGATTTTGACCGAAAATTCCAAATTTCTGAAAAGTCATATTTTATGCTTTCAACGTCCTGAATCTGAATCCGAAGTCTGTTTTGCCAAATTCGAACCCGATAAGCCGTCTTTCACTGATTTATCACTCGATTCGATCCGTTTATCGCAATTAAGCTCCGTTTCTGATATAATTTATGTTGATATGTATCTGAGGAATTATTGGAAGTTGAATTGAAGATCAAAGGCATTCGAATGGAAATTTTATGGTCGATAAGTATTGCAAAAAAATCGAGGTAATACTTTACTACCTCTTTATGCATTATGGAACATGTTTATATTGATAAATGCATGAACAAGATAATGTTGGTCACTTTGGTGGAGTTGAATAATTTATACACTGGATATGATGTGATAGAAATTCTGTAACTAATTACGGATCGAATGACTAATATAAGAGATTGAGGAATTGTTAGATTAAATTATAAGTTTGTGATTAGTGATAAAGAAATCAGCCCTGTATCTGCAACTTATAATTTATTTCATCAAAGGTTAAATGTTAAAGGTACTTGGATGAGAAATTATGAGAATACTCCGGTAGGGTAAAATTACAAAAATACCCTTATGTTATGAAAAGACAAGATTTGAATATGGAAGTTAGATAAGATGGTTTTACAGACATATTGATCTGATAAAAATATTGATGTGCATAAAAAATGTTAGTTTTATTTGGAAATTATGGATAACCGGTTTTAATCCTAGGAGAGTTTATGAAGGATACTAGAAGTCTGTTAAGAGAACCGTTTCAAGATCAGAGAGTGTTCAAGAAAGCAATTAATCATACGATCTCTAAATTATATTATTTTCGTTAAGAGTTAATATCGAAATTATCTGGTTAAGAAATTACGAAAATACCCTTAAGAGGTAGAATAGTCTGAGTTGACTCTGAATGAGAAAATACTTAGAGGATTTGTACTTAACTCGATTAAGTACGGATTTAATTGTTAAGATCCTGACTTAGTGCAGGAAAATTCCTAATATTCCGTTTGTAAAATCCGAGAAGGTACTTGACCCGGAAATATCCGAGTTTTGAGTAAATACCTGAAGAACAATTTGTCGGGGGTGTTCTGTTGTCAGAATTGTTCGAAAGGACTGAAATAAAAGATAAGATTGAATTTAATAGTAAGATCGGACGGAAGGAAAGGTTTGAAATACGTTGAATCTGTAA